GTGTGTGTGTGTGTGTGTGTGTGTGTGTGTAAAAGTCCCTAAACGACCAGAGTGAAGGGGAGCGAGGAGGTTGTCGATATGAACGTTCTAAAAATAGAAGTAGTGGTATAAAAACAATGAAACCCCTGTTACATAAGAGATGAGGTGAGGATTAGCAGCCTGTGAGTCACAGATGCAACTCTCTCTACACTGTGCCACTGCACAGCCCTTTTAGTGAACTTCCTCTGCTAGGTTCAAAACAACACATAGATAAATAGATGTCCCCGTTGACAAGTGGAAGGCGATCGTGTGCCCCCCACAGATAAGACGTTCACCTGTAGCTTCTCCTGCGTCAGCTCGTCAAACAGTTTCTCGGCCTCAACCAGCGAGCTGAGTTTGTCCAGGAGTGGGGCTGAGTCCTCGCAGGAGTCGCGCAGGTCAGACCCACCGCAGGCCCCCTGCTCCTCCCAGCCCAGCTGGGAGTTTCCATTCGGTGGGTTCATGCTGCCAGAGGAATCTGGCTGGCGAAGGTCTGAGAGAGAGAAAGATGATTAAAACCTTTCTCACAAGCAGAGACACCTCCATCCCATTTCCAAACTGTACATGGGGAGATTAGAAACACCTTTCAATGTAATGCACTTCAGAACAACACCATCACCCACCTCAACAACAAATGTCAAATTAAATTTCAATAAAAAGAATTATCACTATAGTCCCAAGGCCACTTAGTGCCTTCACATTTCATTACCAACTAATTATATTATTATTTCACCGAAAAAAACAATTAGTAGCGTCAGGCAAATTTGATTTTGAATATATTACCATCTTTTCTGTCCGTGGAGGTAAACTGGAGTCTCTTTCTGGGACTGCTGCTGTGGAATGAATGACGTCTCTGCTCAACTTGGCCATTTAACCTGTAGATGACACACGACATAATTATTTACTTTAACAAGTGTAATGGTTCCACTTTTGTGTTTTTGGGCTTGTTGGACATAGATTTTTGATAAAACTCTGAACAGATGCTGTAAATATGACTTCATATCAATGTGAGTATTGTGCATTGATAGATAAAGTTGCATAACTGCCTTTCTTTGTGTACATTTATGCTTGTATATTGAGCCTTTAACAGAAATAAGAGTTGCACCTAGCTGCACAGTATGGATGTGTGTGTGAATGCAAAAGTGTACTGTAGAGAGCTTTGAGTGGTCATTAAGACTAGAAAAGCTCTATATAAGGCCATTTACCTTTTATCTAAAATCACCACCAATGACACTTTCATAGTTTTCCCTCTACCAGCACCTCTTAAAGTGGTATTACGACCTCAGATTTTGTTTGTTAATCTGTGAATTAGTATTTCTTCAAACTAAAATTCGAATTCAAAGGTAATGTGAGGAGACAAAGTGCAGAAATTACATTACAGCTGTTCCCTAGCTTCTGATGAGACAATGCACATCTCTCACCTGTTGTGCAGGTGTTGCTCTCTTGGCATCATGTGACCAAAAGCTGTGGAGTAGTTCTCAGAGGGGCAGCGTTTAGGGCTGGACTTGGCAGACAGGGGCTGGAGTAAAGTTTCTCTCTTTGCTGGAAGGAGGAGAATAGCACAATTCAACTTTAACTGACCAAAACATTAGAATTAGAAACTACTTTCTGTGGAGAGTTAATAGAGATCCAGTAAAATGTGAAAAGATACAAGTTTTACTTTTGTCTCAGTCTCTAGTGCTGAACATACAATTTTGTATATGCTATTTATCTGGCAAAAGGTTTATTAAAGCCTTTAGCCAAAGTAGGCTGGAGGAAAAAATGTGTGGGACCTTGTGTGTTTATTATGATGAAGCATTAGAGCCACTTCAACGGGAAGAAATCTGAGGTTTCGAGAATAAAGTCATAAAAACTGGCTGAGCGTCCTGTTGTCTATGTACTTCTAATGTTTCTAACCTGCATTATAATGATTTTCACAACGACCCGACCATAAAATGACAGTTGGGCTGTCAGACCCACTCTATTCAACAAAGAAGAAGGAATTTGCAATTTTCAATGTTGATCTCCCTTTTGTGGTGTGGATGCAGATAATTTAAAAAAAGAAATGGCTTAAGGTCTCATCAAAAATGTTACATTCAAACCTCCACAAGCAATCAACCTCAATATTTTCCCTAAACACTAAAGCTGTTGTCACACACATTCAGGGAAGTAAAGACAGGTAAGGTGCGTGTGAAAGGACTGGGCTTACAGAACATACTTGGTGTAGTTGGGGGTATATTTCTCTGTGCTGGAGGAGGCAGTGAGGAGGATCTGTGGCCCTCTGGAGACAGACTCCTCTGAGCCCTCAGCAGAGCTGCTGCTCTTTCTGCTCCACTGTGGCTTCTTGCTGCTCCTCCTCCTCCCTCAGCTTCAACCACAGCTCCTCCAGGTTTAACCACTTCTCTGTCTGCCTGAAGCCCAACTCGCTCCTGAATGTGCTCTTTGTGTCGCCGCTCGACAAAACCCACACTGGTCTTCTGACTACCAACCCCTGCAGAGACAATTACACAGATGTAAAAAAAACAAGTGAATTAAAGTTATGTGTGCTTTACCGCAAGTCACAGTTTATCTCCCTGTAATGAACTAATGAAAGGACTTGGAGCTGTAACACTGTTGACTGGAGGATTAGCCTAAACAGCAGAGATAGAGTCTTGTTCAGACGCAGATGAGACATACAGTAGTTGTGCAACAACTTCTGTCCTTAACCCTCAGCTTTCAACTTTAAACCTTTTTAATCTTTTAACATGATCATTCAAACTAAGAAACATCTCAAGCTTTGCAATGGTTGACCACACTGGGCACATAGAACATTGTCCTGATTCACTTCCAGCCATTAAAACAGTTTTATAACATTTCTACTGTTTTGACATTTATATATTAACTAAATATGACAGCAGCCTAATGTTATGTCCATAACAAAACCTCAGCTGGGGTTCCACATTGTAGGCTATACATTTTTTATTTCCTTAGCTGAATGACTCTGAAGATTATAAAAAAAAATCATATTCATTAATTCATATAAAATATGGCCTGTGTAAATTCTGAAATGTAAAATATATAATAAAATAGTTGTTTGTAGACAGGTTGCTCTGGTTATAATGATAATGACGACTGTTGAATTGGGGATAATCTAAAGAGTTCAGTGGTGAAGTCTACACTTCATGCGTTGTCAGCAAGTCCACACAAATGTGCCTCTTGTTGATTTGGTGGAGTGAAATGTTCCAAACACAGAAAGTAGTTTCTATCATACCCATGGTGGCATCAAGTCAACTCTTTTTGAATGATTTGACTTAAACACCTTGATATCTCAAAACCTTGGTACATGCAACGTGTCTAAATACATTTGTGCTCGAGCAGTGTTTCTTCTGAACACAATTGGATCACTGGCTCTTAACAGCTATTTAGGTTTATAGTATACAATGCAACATGAGTAAAACTGAGACATACAACAGTGGTTCCAGTGTACCATTGCTATCATTAATTACAACAAATCAGTAATTTCATTAATATATATAATCCTGTTGTAGATCAGTACATTGTTATTGTTATAGTCAGCCCTGATACTGATGGTGCCCAATTGTTCCCGGTCTCTCTCTCTCTCTCTCTCCACCTCATCTCTCTCTTCTCTCCCCCACTTTCCACCCATCTCTCCTTTCCTCCCCCCTTACGTTTCTTTCCTCACCCCAACCGGTCGAGGCAGATGACCGCCCACATTGAGCCTGGTTCTGCCAGAGGTTTCTCCCTGTTCATGAGGGAGTTTTTCCTCTCCACAGTCGCCTGTGCTTGCTCATTGTGGGAACTGTTGGGTTTCTCTACGTTAATATTGTTTCAAGGTTTTGACTTTTAAATGTAAAGTGCCTTGAGATAATGTAAAATATGAATTGGCGCTATATAAATACAATTGAATTGAATTGAATTGGTTCGTGGTCAGTCATGGTCAAGACACAAGTTTTAAATTGAATGTTGTGAGTGCGGCGGCTCCTCTTACAGGGGGCTCGGCTCTCTGTGGCTCTGGTCTCCTCCAGCTCTATCAGGGCCCTCATCATGGGCGTCAGGGCACAGGATGTCTGTATCCAACTGGTCTCCCGCTGGCTCTGCTCCTGGTGTTTGGTCTGAGGCAGAGACTGTTCACACTCTGGAGGAGATCCACACCTGCAGAACAGATCACAATAAATCACTTAAGATCTTGACCAACATTGGCAGAAGACACATTTCCAATAATAAAAAACTTGCCTCCAGCTGCCATCAACTGAGGGGGTGTCCACAGAGCTATCAGGTCCAGATGATTGATCATGTAATGTGTATGCCGACTTCTTGCGGATAGTTGATTGGTTTGTTTGAGAGATCTGGGATTTTCTGCCGCTGTTCAGCTGGTCGGATAGACGACAAGGTGACTTTCTACTGGTGATGTCTGGTTCTTTGTTGCTTTTACTGGGTGAAAGCAGCAGGTCAGGATGGTGGAAAAGGCTGTGGAAACATCAAGAGGAAATATTAACGAGAATGGCACTCAGTAGGGTGCATAACTCCACCAGGCCTAACAGAGACCTTATGAAACCACATTTAAATTCACTAGATCCAGATTTTTATCTGCACCAAGACACACACACACACACTCATATTTATAATTTCCCTAAACATGCTTGATTTCATTAATCAAGATCTATGAATTACTCTCTGAGAAATCAAGGTAAATGTTGAGAAATGCCCTATGTTAAAGAAAGAAAAAAAGAAATTCGGAATCTGCAACACGATCCAGATCCACACCAAAATTGTATGGGTTCTTTCTTGGATCACGCCCCGCACTATGTTATATCTTTCTCACTAACAAACAAGCAAAGACAAAAAGAGAGATGACAGAAGTTATTACTAATTAGCCTAATAGAAGAGAAGTAAAAAGAAACAACAATCAGCACATTTGAGCTGAGATGAAATGAGATCAAATAAAACCTGTAATAGTCCCACTCCAGGGAAATTTGTAAAAAAGGTGACCCCAGTATTATGTGAACATGGATCCTTCTGATCTGAAGTCACAGACACATGGTCTTCTGGTGCAGCTGGAGACGAGTGGTGCAGGCTGTGTATTGCTTATTACTTTTTCATCTGTGTCTCTGGGTTGGATCTGAGCTTCATGTTACAGCTGGATGCAGAAGAGGTCAGAAATATTCAAATTCTGTGCATAATAATGTTTTTCAGTTGAAGGTGTTAGCTCTTACCCAGCCCCGGAAGGTTGTGCATTTGTGTGAGATGCATAACGGGCCCTGGACTGGTTCTCATGCTCCAGCTGCTTCACCTGAGACTCCAGTTTGGAGATTAATCTGAGGGGACAGACACACACACAGTCACAGGATTACAAAGTATGAGGAGACACAAAAGACATAAAAGATAACAGATAAAAAATAGTTGCAGATCTTTAGAAACATATTAGAGTAATAAAAATAGATAAAAGTCTTCTAGAAAATGGGGATACTGGGATTTCACATCCATATGAGATCTTGAAGAAAATGTGATGGGAAAAAACAGATATTTGAGTCTCAGCAATTAAAAAAAACTTTACAGGGCTATATATGGAAAGCTATTCCCTAATACTGACCCTAGCAGTCTTCGCTGTAGACTAGAACCAGCCACTCGATTTCATCAATTCTGGTCATGCCCTCAACTGTCAGAGAAACATCTAAAAATGGATGGGTTTGATTTGATTTTTTAACCTTGCCCCCTTACGACTATCTTTGGTATTTTACCGGTGGACTGTGCATTATCATACACCCAATCTGATACAGTAGCATGACCAACTCTTTTGGCTAGATGGATCATCTTGCTTTATTGGGAACTCATTGTTTGCCCTCCGATAATCATTGGGGTAAGAGACTTATTGGGCTGCCTCAGGCTGAATTAACTTAAATTCAGCTACCATGACAAACCTGAATGATCTAACACACCCTAGGCTCCGTTCTGGGCCGACTTTGAGAATGCAGCCTCTCTCTTTCTCATTTTCTCTACCTCTACTCCTTTACCGCTCCATCTTTCTCCCAATCTGTGTCAACAATACATTCATGAACATATGGGTGTGATGTGAATCTCTCTGGATCCAATATGACATTTATTAACTTGTTTATTTTGTTGTTTTACCCTGTTTTTTTGTTTTTATTTCATATACTTAGCAGTCGGAAATGTCTATTTGTTTGCTTTAGTAAGTGAGTCCGAAAGGGTTTTAAAAAAAAAAGGCTGTGAAACATTTATCATTCCCCCAAAAATATTTTTTCAACTTCATTACACCCTGTTAATCATATAAAATCGGTCTGTCACAGAAGAACGAACAGTAAAAGAACTCTAGGTTTCAGGTCTAGAGATACAGCATTCATCTGTGGGCTCGAAGCGTCCTGGGGCATTTCTACTTTATATCCTCATGAATCAGTTAGCCTCACTGAGACTCTCTCCTTCAACACTGTTTAATAAATTGACCCCAAGACGACCTTTATCCCAACACTGTCTTCTGTGGATTTCTAAATTCTCTCCACTGCCATTATCTGGCTCCAATTTGCTTCTCCTCTTTTAGTTTGACAAGTCCTACTAACAATCTCCAGACGTCTCTTGCAGGTTTATGCACTCACTATGAGACTCCCTTTGACTCTTAAGGGGAATTTGCTAACTGCATTGTACGCTTTCCATTTTAATTGTCTAAAATTCTAAAATTGTTCCGCTCTCAGACTGATGGGATGCCTGGAGGGAGCGTCGTGTAGCTATGACTCTCCCTTTTGTCTTTTCAGGCTGATGTCTAAGCTTTAGTGCTGTGCTTCGGCTCAACACAAGAGAACTGGCTAAATGAAAACATTCTTCATAAAATGCTGTCCTATCTCCATGTCTTTTTCACTTGTTTTCACAGACAATAAATGGATAATTGCTCAAGTCAGCTTGAGCACTGTAGTAACTAAAGGAAAGAGAAACTTCTTTCCTTGGTACCTATTTCAATGTGTCTGGACCTCTCCAGCATTTGGAGCAGTGGCTCCCAGACTGTCTTCCCTCTACATGAGTTGTTTCAGTGCTAAAGCCTTCCTTTGACACACATCTATTGATGTTCTGTGAGCTGTTGCTTGCGATCTGTCCGTAAATTCGCTGAATCGACTTCGAACATTTCATCAATGCTGAGTCTATGCGCTGCCTCCGTTATTGCCAATTTAAAGCAAGAGCTGATACTGCAAAGGAAAGTTGCTGCGCAGTATTTGCAAGAGCAAAGACACCATTATTAGACTCTATTGATGAATTCTCTTCTCTCTATCTCTACTGTCATCTACGGTCCACTGCATTCCTTTTTTCACGGAATTGATTGAGCCAGCTAAGGACAACCTGACAGTTATAGACCTGATGCAAATAACCAGACTACAGCTGTGAGGCCACATCTTTGTTATGAGTTCTCTTTTTCAAATAACTCAGAACGATACTCTGATATGTAAGTTTAGCATTATTCAAAACCGTCAACACTAGATCTGCTCAGTAATGGCTAACAGGGAAGTTAACCATTCTTCCTTACAGATTAAACATTTGCATTTTGTGACCTTTTACTGAGCCATGTTTGTAGTTGTAGTCATCAGAGAGAAAAAAATATTTAAGCAACTTCACACTTCATTGGACTGAGTGTTATAAAAGTTGTTGACTGTTTTGGTATTTACCGGAATACTAGAAGAAGAAAATAAGATTTGATAGGAACCTAAACTGATGCACAGGATTCAATGCAGAATGCATAGAATTCATACAAAACCCAAACCTAAGTGGCAGTGAGTGTTGTGTTGAGTTACAGCTGCTCACCTCTTCAGTTCAGATATCTGATCATTGGCGTCAACAAGCTTGTTCTCTGCTGACACCATCTTGATCTGTGGATACAAAAATGTTTTAAGGGTGAGGGAAGACATGACATATTAAGAGGGATATTTTGTCCTTCACATATTTTAATGAAAATCAAACAATTACACTAAATCCATGAACAATTACCTTGGCTCCCTCGTGGTCCTTCATCAGAGAGTCATATTCTCTGAGCAGCTGCGGAAACAAAACAGAACCTCATTCAGGTCGAATAATAATATTTGTTTTGACAGAAACTCAGAGATTGAATATGGATGCAAAAATTCAACCAGGGACAAGAGGCAAGTTAAACATTAAGTAACCAACATGATCAGATGACCTGAATATTTTCTGTTATTAAAGTCAGGCTATGAATATAGTATGAATAAGCATATTACTTTTTAATTCTATAGTTACTTTGTCCAGTGTTTCGCAATATTGAGTGCATTTAGAAAAATGAGATTGGCAATATTTTACAAACACACACAAGCGCGCACGCACGCACGCATGCACAGAGCAATCGCTCTCTGGAGCACATCAACAATAAAGCATTTCTGCTAGTGGTAATAACACATGTCTCATTTCAAACTTTAGATAATGGAATGAATTATCTTTCTTGTGGTGATGATAAGTAAATGTTTATCTTCTGATGTTGTGTCCCACAGCCCAGCCAGACTCACATCCTGCAGCATGTTGTACTCTCTCGCCCTCCTGGCCTCCTTCTCATCTGCCTCTCTGCGGGATTTCTGTGCTGCCTCCTCCAGCTGCTGTACGCGAGACTTCAAATGTGCTGCCAGGGAGTCCTTCTCTTTGACTGAGCGTTTACTTTCTTCTAGTCGCTGCTGCAGAGATTTCACAGTAGCAACCGCGACTGCATACCGCTCTGGCCAATCTGCCTAAAAACAAGAAGTCAAATCCAAATTAAGGGACGGTCTGAGGGTTAAATATCAATTTCAATGCATTATTAGATTAACACTTAAAAAGAGTTGAGGAAAAGACATCAAATGTATAGGAAGATCGAAAAACTACATAAATTTAATTTTCAACCATAAGACGTCACTATGTTTATGTCCAGTCTATCTATTTTCTATTTACTCAGGATAATATGTGTGGGTTGAATAGAACTGTCATCAATACTTAGACCCAAATATTACAGGAGCATTTTGCTATCTAACGAAAATGAAAATAAAGTATGCAAAACATTTATGGAATGATACCAGTTTTTTCTCCAGCGAGCTGTTTGTTGCCTCTAGTTCTTTAATACGACTGATGGCCTCAGCCAGAGCTTTTTCTAGATGCTTGCACCTGTGGACAAGCAAACATCAGATTAATAATGAGTAATGAATGGACACAAAGCATGGGTAAAATATCCTGCTGGTTTGATTGATGTTTTATGAGCGTTCAACCCTCTATCAACTGACCTTTTTCAGGTGTTTTTCTTTTTTTGTATATTGCCATATTTATTTAGGTTTTATATTGTTGTATATTTTATATATTGAGGATAAAATACATAAGGGTTTAAAAAATGCAATAAACATTACAACAAATAAATGATATATGCAGCGAACACAAACCTCTCTGTGAGCGCCTGGTTGCTCTTCTCTAAATCCTGGGGCAGATCTCTGAGTTTGAGTTTGTCTCTCAGGACTTGGATCTCAGACTCATAATATGCTTTGAGATCCGCCACATGTCGAGAGTGCTTCTCTCTCAGGTTCTGTCGCAGGCTAAGGTGAAGAAAAGCAGAGTAAAAGAATGAATCTGATTAAACTCTGTTGTCATTAAGCCTCATGAAGTACCATAATACAGCAACACATAAAAAAATAAACAACGTTCCAGTGACTGCAGCCGATGTGTGCTACACTCACAGAGAAAGGACAACAGGATCCTCTAGTGATGAAGCTCTCTCCATGTGTGGACTGGCTGCAGGCCGCAGATTAGCACCAAGGGCTGAACAGGGCTTCAGGGTGCTGGTGTGGGTGTCTCTGCCCTCTTCCTCGCTGGCTAAAGGAGCACTGGCTCTGCGTTGCTGGTTGGTCTTATCCTTGGAGGTAGACAGGACTGCCTGGGATGCGTTGCCCCACATGCTTTGTGTTTTGGAGAAAGGAGGTCCGGCAACTGAAACACTGGAGGATTCAGAGATACAGTCTGTATCTCCAGGGTTGTGGCTACACTCCACCATGCTGTCAGGGGACACAGGGGTCCTGACTCTGGGGTTGATGTGGGGCTGAGTGGCAAATGAAGGGCTGCTGAAATGAGATGGTGACGTGAAGCCAGATGTGCATTCTGACTGCCGCGTGTTCGCTGCTGGGTCCAACGTCAACACCTGAAGTGTAAAGAGGGAGAGTACAGTTTTATAGCACATATAGAGTGCAGAGTTACAGGGTCAGCCGAGGACTACTATGTCCATCCATACTAATGTGTCTTTGTTTCAAAACAGCATTTTAAAACTTAAACGATCTTCATCAACACAAGTAATGTGCATGTAGACTAAACCTCTTTCTCTTGCTTTTGTCTCTTTCGTTTATGGATATGAAATTTAGATTAGATCAACAAGTTAAAAGACAGTTGTATTTTCTGGTTCTTGTTTTCATCATAATATCCCTGATTTACAACTTAGCAACCATGGTTTATGTGATAAGCAAAATAATCTTCCAATGATTCCCTAGAATTGATGTTTAATTGTGATTTCTTGAACAAAAAAAAAGCAAAATTTTCTGGTGTACTCCTCTTGATGGCGAGGACTAAATCGAGTCATGTGAAATACCTGTGGTGACGAAGGACTCGACATAACAGAACCTTCCCAGTCTGTTCTTTGCTTGTTCTGATAGATCTCTCTGAGTGACAGCCCTCGATCCTGAGGTGGAGTCTACAAGAGACACAGAAGAGTTCATCAACACAGTTACACATACAAATCACAGATTCATCATTGTATTTACAATATTTTAGATATTAAACATTCTCCTCACTGGATGTGCTTTATGATCAATCATGATTTAGTGATCATGTCTGTGGTAAATGTTAGACAATAATATTTTATAGTATTTCTATGTGGGGCTCCAGAATGGGAGCATTAACAACATAATACATTGTTTTTTTCCTATTTTAATTATTCAATTATTTATTTAATCTTTCTTTTAAAGTTTCTTTTTTCTGCCTTTTCCTCTATCACTTTCACCCGTTATGCATTATTGATTATGTTTTTAAAGTCACTGTTGAATACGAAATATAAATTATAAATAAAACAATTTTGGAAGAGTAAAAGTAGGAAGTGAAATCTGGAAACAACAGCTGCATTAAATAGCTTTAGTGAGAAAGAAGGGATTGTGGGACATTGCTTCTTAAGTCTTAGGGCGCTTGCAGAAAGTCCATATAATCTCCTTTCCTAGCCACTATTCCTTGAATCCGATGGAATATGTCCTGGGGTCAAGGAAAGATGTGAAGGAGAAGCTGTAAGAAGAACCACTCTGCGGAGAAATCCGATTCCCCTTATACTCTGCGTTTTAAGAAGATCCGCACAAAATGTACTCTGTGCTGTCGGCTGTGCACTCAACGTTTTCTGTCCAAAATAAAATAACACTTCTTGAGAAAAGAACATTAAATCATTACCTACTCACAGGAATAACAACAAAACAGATTTAATGGAAAATACTCATAAAACAAACAGGACTGAAATGTTGAAATGATATAATAGTGTGAGGAATATATGTGGAAAAACCTTATATAAGTGGAGGAAAACATTTATTGGGTCAATTCCACAATCAGGGGGTTGAAATAAATATTATATTTCTGTTTTTTATATTTACTTGGGTGTCTTCAGGTGCAACTACGAGGTTGTGTCGCTTTAAATGTTGATGCCGTAAAGAGTTTTGGGGCGGCATTTTCTCCTTTCCTTTCATAAAGAATGTTTCAGATGCTACAGGAGATAAGTTAGGAAGCATTGAAGCTCCATTACTTATCATTAAGAGAATATCAACAGCTGGTTCCTAAGCAAAATTGACTTTTCAAACGCACCTTCAGTGTCACAGAGAACTGTGGGATTTTACTTACAAGATTCACGGATGCCTCTTGCAGAAGGAGGTAAGCGTTGCTTTCAAAGCTGTCGGGTAACGGCCGATACAGGTCACTCTCATGCAGACGCCAGTAAGTGAGGCCTACGAAACAAAGTAAAATGCATTGTGATATCATGGGTTTTCTACTGTATCTTTCAAAGGCAAGACACATATAAAATCCCAAAATGAATGGATGAATAGGTTTAGAGCACTCTCATTCTCCACTTGCATGTAACTGAGAAATGTAACTGAGATCCGCTTCAGATGCAAAGAATAGCTTTAAATTGGTGCTGTTCCTATGAATTATTCTATTTTTATTCAATTTCCTAGCTGCAGTTTATTTTTTCGTTTGTTAACTTTATTGGCTTGCACTTAAAAAGGTGCCATGTAATTAAACGATATAAATGAAATAAGCAATGAAAGTAGGAAATTAACTGTGGGAAATGTAATATTATTATTCACTGAAGCAGTGGTGAGGACAAATAACTGAATGAAAAAAAGATTGTGCCAAACTTGTTCACAAACTACTGAAAAAAAACGTAGCTAACAAAGACAAACATCACATTTGAGGCTAGAAATAAATTAATATTTCCTCATGATAAAAGCCCTTGCAGCTACAACAGTGCCATCCTACTGTGACTTGTTGTAATTGCATTAAGACCTTCAAAATACTGCAAAATCCTACGTTGTTTATTATATCACAGCCACATTGTCACTGTCAAAGCCTTGTTGCTCTGTGTTTTGTCTGAGTCAGTGAATTGTCACCTGATGCTTCAGACATCAGGCTGTCACTCCTCCTCAGGGGAAAAGTGCTGGACGACGGCCCAGTCGGTCGATGCTGAAACCCAATAGAGATAAGTGGATTAAACTCAGCAGCAAGAATGTTAGAAGGACAATCACAACAGACAAATGCACCGAAAATAAAAACACCACAGATGCAGGGCAGTGATGTACACAATCTAATGTTTTTTTTTTTGTAATCTGTACTTAAGCTTATCTGTCCTGTGCAGCTGCTGAGTTGTACCTGGTCCTGGGAGTCTGTGCTCTCCAGGGGGTTTTGTCCGTTGGCTTCTCTGGAGCTGCATGGCTGCTCCTGGTACTGTGGGATTTGGCATGAAGCTTGTCCTGCTTTGCTTTTCTTGGGCCTGAGTTTCTGTCTCTGGGCCCAGGAGGTCAAAGATTGGCTGGTGCTGCAAACAGAGCAGGTAAACAGAAAATGATTCCTTAGGTATAATAATGACTAAATTGTAGCAGAGATTCTACAAGATTCACCAAGTTAAAATTCATGATGTATTAAATGCCATCACCAGGTTGTTTCACACTCATACTAGCCACAGTAAGAAAGATAACCCATCTTAAGAGGTCAGGATCAGACATACTCAGAGATTCTTGGCCGGTAGACTAATCCATGCAGTTCCTTCACTCCAAGACGTTTCTCATCAGGAAGGTCCTCCTGGCACCCAATCGCAGTTGTCTCTGTGGCTTCCTGGAAGTTAAAGGACCACTGATGCTTCTCCCTCCCTTGACTGCCATCCTCATCATCCCCTGGAGACCCAGCAGGTTCCCGACATGGTTCCCAGGCAGACAGAGTCCCATATCCACTGCTGAGCATTGTAGTTGCCCGCTCCTCCCCCTGGTTGGCGGTTTCTGATCTGTGCAGAGGAGGTGAAGGGGAGCTAAAAGGAGTATGGGCAGGGGCTGCCAGTCTGTCATTGTCACTGGGCACGTTTTTGGTGACTGTGTGGTCACTGGAGATGAAAATGTAGTCCTTTGTGTCAGTAGCAGTTTTGGTCACGAGAGTTGGAGAGAGCTCTGTTTGTGGATGGACAGTGGCCTGGCGGTTCTGGAGCTGGACCAGAGCCTTAATTTCATCCTGAATCAACTGAGAAAAAGAACAGCATGTCATTATTTTACTGGATGAATAAATATCTCACAGTGGTTGATTAATGGGACATAACAAAACAAAAGCTTACCTGTATTTGGCACTGGTATTGTTCCTGCTGTGCGAGTATCTGCTCTTGGTATTGCTTCTCAACCAGCTGAAATAGATGCAGCCACCGGCCCTGTTGCAGGAAACACCAGAAACCAAGTGTTACAAACCACCACAGAAATACACTGTCAGTATATACTGACATTCAATGTTTGCCTTTCACAGGGTTCTCACCTTTACAGTGCAGGGGTTACAGATTACACTTAGACATTAGATTTTACTGCAGGCCGCTTCACTGCTCTGCTGCGCTGTAAGTTATCTGCAGTGTGTACTTACCATTATGGTCCAAAGATAAGAAGTCTTGTGCTGTTACTTCCATTTAAAGTGTGCAAAACTCTGTACTGCTCTGTACAGCTAATTTGATTAGGTGTAATCATCTGCTTTGGGCAAACCAACACATTCACTGACTGAAGCTCATACATGCTTGTACTCAAATGTAAAAAGAAACACAATTAGAGCTTATATATCATTTATTATGTATCATTATTGGAATAAGGTTTATCCAAGAGGAATCTAGGCGGTAGATCAGATTTCTATAACCCTCTGCACAATTATGGTGACAGTGTTTCTGAGGCAGCTGTGGCTTTAAAGGAAGAGCAGGTCATCCACTAATCAGATGTTCTATGGTTTTACATATACAGCAGCACTGTATGTGTGTGGGACAATGGTGGTCTGCATTAAAAATAAAAATATAATTCCTGGCCCAGGGCCCTCCATGTCATGCAACTCAGACACCCGGTCTGTCTGTCTCTTGACTGTCAACTGTTCATAAAGACAAAAACTCCAATAGAATCTTAAAATTCTTAACTTTGTAATTATGTGCCTGCACTATATGTGTGTATTAGGTTAGAAAGAAGCAGCTGTGCTTTTGTTACAAATCCCCATCAGAGAGTAGAGAGGAGTAATATAGAGAAATAATAGGGGTGTAATCTACATGATAGACAATTTAATAATCAGAAAAGAATGTGCTTTCCCCTGGTGTTTTAACTGAAACTGAAAAGCCTGATGAAATACATGGGAGAGTGCCAAAGCCTCAGAGTTGTCTGTTTCCTACAAATCACACCGTGTGTCTGAGTAGATCAGCTGCACTGTGGTAGTGTGTGGGCTGAGCGGGGGGGGGTATCTGTCTGTCTTACTGTCAGGTGTGATCTGCACAAAAACATAAAAGTGACAGTCCAGAAATGAGGTTGCCAGCTGCCACAGCAGCTAACCCCCAACTCCACTTTCACCATCATCTCTTATCACCCCATTTGCACTTTCTAACTCTTGCTTTTCAGGCTCTGCGCTATCTTCCTACCTCACAATCCTTCCAGATCTCGGGGTCTGTCTCTCCACTGCTCTGGATCTCCTGAACCAAAGCCCTAAGGGTCTCGAGGGAGCTTGGGTTGATGAATGGGAGGTTCTTCCCTTGTTCGAATGCTTCCTTTGTGCTCAGACACAGACTCCTGCAACAAAGTCATATATTATTATCAAATCACATGCCCTAGTTAAGTATTGTAATACATGATAAAAACATATAGATACATTAATTTTTAGGTATTCAGATTAAATATCAGGATAGGATACAGCTGTGGAGCTTTCTGGAAGTCATTATTTGAAAAACACCTATTTATCAAAATTCTACACCCAAACAAGACTTTACAGTAAATGCCAATGACCCATGACTCTTAAAATTTGACTGATAGCAATTAGTGTGAAATGTGCTTCCACGTCTACATTGTATTAAATTTAATCAGCTTCCTGTGAAGTTCAGGAAAATTCATAAAACTATTAGGGTGGTCATTCACACAAAATACATTTAAAGTTTTATGATTTCATTGAATACCATTTATATGTATATTCAGTATTCAGTGGATTTTGTAAAAATAAATAAATAAATAAAAGCCAAATATTCTGATACTCTCCTCGTTAATGAGAGGATTGCTGCTTTTTTTAGTCACATGCAATCGCACACTAAATGTTTATATGCAATTATTTGGGGGTTTTACATACAAAACTAAAATGGCTCTGTCAAATTCACGATTTCTCACGTTTCATAGACTAAATGATAAATTGCAATGAAAGGGAAAAAACAGATCAATAATTTAATTAGTTGTAGCCCCATTGTTCATGGTGTTATATTTTAACTTTGCACAGAGAAACCATTGTCTTTTCTTCTTATAAAAAATGTGGTTAGTGTATCTTCAGCTACTGCACCTGATCTTGTTGCATGCTGGTGTAATGAACACGGGCCTGCTCTCCACAGTGCCTCCTGTTGTTTGGGAGGCCGAGTGTCTGTCCTCTGAGACGGCCAGACCAGAGGCCGATGTCCCCTCGGAGGACAACAAAGAGGTCTCGCTCTCCTTCCCCCCATCCCCGTCAGCACTGACATGGCAATGGCTCAAAGCCCCTGAGCTGGACACATCCTCAGAGATACTGTCATCTGTGGACATGTTTATGGGCCCATGCAGGGGGGGGCAGTCTGACAGCTAGAAACAAAGAGGGGGGAGACAAGAGACACTCAGCATCAGTACAGTTGGACAGTAAATGCATTTGCTTGTGTGCTGAACTGAAATACAGAACTTTATTTTCATTTTTGCCTGCTTTCTATTTTTATTTCACGACATTTCAGAGTGAATGACTTATTGTACTTTGTATTTCCTTTTCAAGTCACTTTATCAATCAGTCAGCTTCAACTACAAGCTGCTTTACACACTCAGAACATATGAGGAACCTTCAAAATATGATGCATTAAATATATGACCCAGCATTGTACAGAAATTGAGCTTCAATAATTAAGTAAATTAGTCAACAATCAAAGCTCTATTTCATGCACACACAAAACTAATATTTCAGATTGTTAAAACTGAAAGGTAGGAACAAAAGAATATGTCATGTAGTACTGTGAGTGATCTACCTCAAAGACTTGCACATGTATACTTATACATGTGCTTATACATATATACTTATATACTTATACTCAAACCTGGACATAAAAAGAATACTCTAGTAACATTGTCTTAAAAATACAGTCTCAGATTTGGGAAACCTGGCAGAAAAGAATTAACATTTCTTCATTGTTTTCCAGAACAAAAAGTACATATACACTTGTAAAATCTGGACAGAATAACAGGGAGTGGAAAGACAATCTAGACCACATGAGAACAGGTCCAGATCTAACAATCTTTATCTAGACTCGTCAAACCTGGACTAGATTAAAAGGTAGAGCATAGAGACTGTGCAAAAACACAACGTCCAAGTTGTGAAACCTTTTCTCCACTGGTGATGCACATCTGAGAATGAATGCACCCTGACTTGTCATATCTGGTTTAAATGAACCCAGAGAGTCCAGGGCTCCATTAGCTCTACTGCACTTATAGTTCACATGACCTGTCATCAACATTCAACAGTTACAAAACATAAACACAACCAGATTCACATATTTCATCTGACGTGTCAGTGATGCACATCAGCATCCAGCTCCCTGTCCTCTGTCTGCCACGACCTGCGCTTCCTGTCTGCACTCTGTGTGAGAAATGACATCTGACAGTCCAGCTTTGATTGTGATGAACTTAGCCAGCATCAGTGCAATCAGCATAGACACGTAGCATGTTAGCTCCTCTGCTATTCGGACTATTTCACATCGGATGTCGCCGACGCCTCGGGTTGCCCCGTGAACTCCTCTGGAGCCTGGGTTAGTTACCCAGGTAGTCACCCAGCTAGCCTGGCAGCCACCACTCGCAGCCCATACGATTCGGTTAGCTCGCTAGCTGAGTTGGGCTAAGTTGGTGTATTACAGGTTCGCAAGCGCAGCGTAGGCAGCGCGGGCGAAACGTGAAGCACGCATGAGGATAAACGAAGAAGCCGGGGAGACAGAGGGAGCCTCCAGAGAAGAAGAGGGCACCTTACCCGTTGACTTGTAGCATCATTTCATCCATAGCTCTCCGGGTGGACACGTTAGCTAGCTGCTCGCTGGTTGGACACTGCAGTGCAGAGTTCTCCGGCCGCTGTGGCGTTTACAGCCCGCACCGCTCATTGGTCAGAGCGCGATTAAAATGCAGAGCAGCGATTGGCCGTCACGTTCGCCGCGTGTTTTCTATTGGCCGTCTAGGGAAAGAGGCGTGCGCACAAGTTGGGGCAGAGACGACACTGCGTTCAAAACAAATGGCTTCAAAATAACATGAGGTGGGAAGTAAGAGGAAAGACAGGAGCTGGTGTGTCAGCACAGAGGATGATCAGGATCAGGAGCATACACAGCTGTCAGGGGGGGAAGTGAAATACTCTCCACTGAACTTTTGTGGCTGGGTGTTCCACTTCCTGTCTCAGGGTTCACTTTCGAATTAGTGAAATCTCTTTTTGATTAAGAGAAGCTTTCACAACATACAACACAAAGAGCCCATACAAAGACAATATATAAATCAAACATATGGAAGAGTGACATGTAACAGTCAGTGACGAGACAAATGTAGGAAATCAATTAGAAAGACAAATGCAAAACTAAGAGAGGAGTAAAAACAGCAGAAAAGCTGAACGCTGTCTGATTTCATTGAGAAATCAGTCAGGACAAGTGGCACCTTCGCCCAAGAAAGGGTAAAACAACTGCAACTGGAAGGAGGGCGCCCACTTCAGAAGGCTAAAAGATGCCATCTCTCACTTGACCATCCTACAGAGTCCAGGCAGCAAGTCTCACGTATGCAAGCAGGGAATATTAACATTTAGTCCTAAATAACAGAACCTCCAGATGTCAGTACTCTGAAGTTCATTGGTTTGTGGATATTTGATTAATAGAAATGTATTATGTCAGCACAGTAATAACTCAAACTAATTAAGGCCTTAAAACTACAATTTGGGCCTCTCTCTAACATGGCTACTAAATGAGTTAATAATGTAGGACCTGCCTTAGTTGGTATTGTAATATTTTCAACACATTTTAATTCAAGAAAAATTCCCAAAACTTAGTGGACAGGCTTTTGAGGGACCTGGCAATTAGTTCTCTTCGTCTAGTAGGTACTAGTTAATTAAGGTTGATCACCACATTTACTGCCACCTCATTAATTGTGCAGTTATACTATGATATACATACAGTAGGTTTTACTGTATACTACATACTGTGTATCTTAGATTATGAAAAGCATCAGTGAGGCAAAAGGCAGATGAAATGCCAACGTCTTAAAAAAACAGATTGTTGAATACATCACAAACTGCAGTGCACTTATAGTCACAGACTAATCTCTTACCTGACTTTAGATAGCCTGACAGTATAGGAAACCTGACATGAGTATTTATGAGAATATGATAACTTGTACAGGATTGTGGACAGGATGTTACTTCTGACTGTTAGTTCTGTTGTGGTAATGCCTCCTAACAGATCTCTAAATCTTCTGCAGGTGACATACCCATGTATTTTGAGCCCCTGTTTGAGAGTCAAGAAGTTGATGATTTTTCTTAAAACCTAAAAAGTTGCGACACTATCACTTCTGATAGTTAAAAAGTCAATGCACCCTGTGTATGTTAACAAGTCTTATACAAATGCGGTATTCTCATTATTGATTCAACTAAGAATTATTTTCCCAATTAATCAACTAATCATTTTTTCTGTAAAACCAAAAAAATTCTGAAAACTATCCATGACCATTTTCTAGAGCAAAATATGTCATCCTCATATGTTTTGTTTTGTCCGATCAACAGTCTAAAACCCAAAGATATTCAATTTACTCTAACGTTAGGCAGCACATTGTCACATGAGAAGTCACAAGTTTTGCATTTTTGCTTGAAAATGGACCAAAACAACAAACGAATCATCAACATATCAGCAGATTTTCTATATGTTCATCAACTTATCCATAAATATACTACTCATTGCAGTTTTATCTACAGCCATGTGTTTTTGGCTGATTGCTAACATCAGCATGCAAACATGCTCACAATGATTATTATAGGAAACTGAGAACATTAGGAGAGAATCATTAGTTTGGTTATAAACTAATATTAATTTGTCCAAAAAAAAGCATTTGTATTTTGATTTGAAGACAGTGCTCAAAGAGAGGAACGTTAATGTGTGACTAAAAACTCCCCAGTGTAATTAGGTAAATGGTTTGTATTTATATTGATGTTGTCTAATACCATGAATAGTTAAATAGTACTTAATTTCATACTTAGTGCAGTGAATTAGTGAAGGGATGTAGCTTTAGTCTTGGTGACTGCTCAAGGCTCTTTACAGTACACTTTTGCAATTCACCCATTCACACACACACATTCCTACAGTGCATCTATGTTCAGCACTTTCTAAAACATCACCTGTACACTGCCAGCACAGTCATCAGGAGCAATTTGGGGTTCCGTGTCTTGCCCAAGGACACTTCAGAATGCAGGAGACTGGGATCAAACGGCTGTCCCTCATGTTAGAGGACAAGCAGCTGTACCTCCTGAACCACAGTTAATTGTTTGTACAGAGCACCCAGATGTTGAGGAAATTCACGGAAAAGGTTTTACCTGACCTTTATCTTAATCCTGAGCAATGTGAGATGAAAATAAACATTAAAAAAATATATGTGGTAGAACAAGCAGAAAATTATTAGATCAGCAAAGGCGGTAGGATTCACTGTTATGCTGCAGGCTAATGATCAAGTACTTATTAAATCCCTTCAGTAGGCTGACTGTACACAATGATGCCCCTTCACTCTCACTTTAACGTATCACTGACCTCAACAAGCAGCTTTTATGGAGAAAGTTTTTCACATGATCTATGTCCACGGGGCAAAGAGAACAATCCTTGCACTTGTCCTTGCATCTTATTTTCACGTATAATAAGAGGTTATTTTGCAACCACTTACTTTTAAGTAGAGACTTCTCAGGGCTGAATAATGCAGAGCTAAGACACAATGAATCACTTTGACAACTATATTGAAAATACAATTTATTACACTGAGTAATAAATACATACAAAGATGCAAGTAACAGCATTTTCCTTTTTTTAATACCAAAACCAACCTCAACACGAATGAACCAATGCATTTGGCACATCTCTGCCCCTTACTCACTCGGCCATGTGTGTTATAGGGGTCTGAAAAACAGACCAAACACTATCAAAAAGAAGTCTCCATCTACCCCTGTACAAGCCATGCAGTGTCTACAAATTAACCATGGGCCCTTTCGCATGCATAATTGTTTAAAATTCATTTCTTTAAAAATTGAGTCAAAACTAAGATCCCAAAAGTGGGGCATAAAAACACATGATATCCTCCATGATATTTGAATTCCAATAACCCACATGTAATTAAAATGATCCTCCACAACCCTCAGGAGTCAAGAATTGTGTTATTGATTTTTTTTCTCCTCTAGGAGCTTGCTTTTCCATCCTTTGTTCATTTACTTCCTCCTCTCAAAGGAAATGCCATGCAAGTTATTTATTGTTTTCATGAGACACACACTGTTGGTTCTTTTTGCAGGGACGGCTGTGTGTTCGTAGCTAGGACCTGGCGTTCCTCTCCGTCTCGGCCAAGCATTCACGCACCAGCCCTCTAGCGTGGATAATTCCTACAAAGACAACGCCAAGACACTTCAGATTAACAAACTTTGAGTTACATACAACTGTACTATGTTTACGCAAATCCAGGTTTGCACTGACCTCTTTTCAGTCTCTCCATTGCACTCTTACTTCCAGCATATGTGGGCCTGATCTCCTTCCCAAGCTCTTCGATGATGGCCAGCAGCTCTGCATATTTGTTCTGAGGCACTTGGCTGCCAGTGGAGCCCTGAAATTGAAGCAAACAGTGCAAGATGAGCCACGTTCAACACATTTCGAGAACATTACAGTAAGAACAGAAGAATCAGCTTAAACTGTTGTGCAATAAAATATAAGAAACATAAAATGGGGTTAATGAAGTATGCACGGTTGAAGCCAAACAGGTTCACATGTTAAATGTACCTGTGAGAATCCCAGAGATGGAGGTCCGTAGTCACTCAGGAGAGGCCTGTAAGACTGCAACGTGGCCAGGTTAGCTGCTGAGGGAGACTGGAGATTTCCAACTGTTGACAGATCAACATTGTAAAGTTTAACGATTTACCTTGATTACTTTCTGACCTTAATTTAGTCTTAAAACATTACAGAAAACTGTGGAGACAAAAAAATGACATGCAATCACAACTTCTCACAACCCACGAGGCATCCTCAAAAATCGTATTATGTAAACTGTCAGCTGTTAGTACGTCAACAGTAACCTTTCTAGATTGTGAATTGTGATTAAATCAGTCACACTTTGCATCTTGCCAAACTTAGTTCAACTATTCCCCCTCACTTCAACAACCATGTTTCATCCCCGTTATATGAGTCAGAAAGAATGTTGTATGAATGAGGTACACAAATCTTCATTTAAAGGTTCAGTGTGTAGAATTTAGTGATTTCTAGAGGTGAAGTATCATGTTGCAGCTGAATACTCCTCATCTCAGCTCCCCTTCCAAACATGAAAGAAAACCTGTGGTGAACTTCAGCTGTCATGAAAACTCAAAAGGTTTTAGTTTGTCCTCTTGGGACGACAACAAAAAACATGGCGGCCTCCACAGAGAGGACCCCCTCCATGTAAATATGACATTTTTAAATATATAGGGCCATTCTATGGTAAAGAAAACCACAATTCATACAATTTAGATGAAACACACCAGTGAAAACATCACTAGGATTATTTTATATTCAATTTCTGCCAGAAAATTCCTTTCACCTAAATCTTACACACTGGACCTTCAACTTAAGGGCAAGTTCCAATGCTTATTCTAGTCTGTCTTGAAAAAACATTCAGTTGGTCATATGAACAGTGAAACATTCTTCTTCTTTCCACTATTACGTAACATGTCTGACTCAGACAGCCGACACCTTAAATTATCTTATGATGTATTTGGCGATGAACAATATTTTTGCACACAATGAAGACTGTGGATTTGGCTCAATCAAAAGGTTCAGTGTGAACATGAGGAATGATTACAGCAAAAAACGCCTGTTTCAATGATAAGATGGCCACTGACTATCGTTGAAGACAAAATGAACCTTGGAGCATTACTGGATCACTGAACCAACCAATCAGTCACAGGCCCAAAGGCTGATGGGGTCAGAACAAAAGGCCCAGGGAACCTATTTCTGAAGTCAAACAACCTGGCAACATTTCCACCTGAACCACACGAAAGACACGAAAGACAAAGACGACACCAAATAAAAATGACCTAAACCATCAAAAAGAAAAACAATGCAACCTAAAAAAGATACAAATGACAAAAGAACCTGATCCTAACCACAATTTTACCTAAATAAACACAAATCCACCAAAACACACATGAAATAAACACAAAGAGATGCAAAAAAAACTGCTAAAATGATCAAAATAAACCCCAAACTACCAGATCACACCTAACGAGACACAAAACAACTAAAAGAGCAGAAAATAACCAAGAAAAGAGGGAACATCACCAATTTAGACACAATGACCCAAAAAAAAAAGACCACAAAGAGATTCTCCACAAAAAGACACCAAATGACTGAACAGGACCATAGATCCCCAGAAAGTGTCAGGAACAACCACACAGAGACGAAACAACTGCAAGGAAACTCGAATCCATCACATAAAGATTGAAAAGACGTGTCTGTGAATGTCTGATCCTTCATGCTGGAGTACAGGGGCTGATCACACGTCGGTGCCCTGTGGTCTGTTGCCTCATGATCCATCCGCAGCCTGGCGTGCGGACTCAAACGCAACGGAGTATATCTGTACTTCTCCTTCCTGCACCTCCGACGACGGAGGTAAACTCAAGAATAAACGGGTTTTTCTGTCTTCTTAGCTTTTCTCCTCCATTAACGCGGCTCCCCTGCTGCTTTGTTCCCCTGCAATACGCGTCCTCCGCCGGCAGGTGTCCTCGAAGAGTCGGGAAAGGCTCAGAGGCAGATCGATCAGCAGCTCCGACCGAGGAGCATCATGGAGGAAGCGGAACGACGCTGCCTCAACAAGACACTACCGACACATTTCTGTCACCGCGGAACAACGGCAGCCGCCCGGCGGGACCGCGACCCCCGGACGACGGGAGAAGCACATTTTACGAACCGCCGCTTCCTCGCCTCGCATCCCGGCCGCGTTTCTCCGCCGGCCGATCCCGCGGATGGCGCTCTTTTACATTAGTAATAATGGCGGATATGAATTAGCCTAGCTCCCAGGATCTGACCCTACATATATAACTGGACAAAAACTACAGACACGGTCTTTCTCCAGGTATTCTCCGAGACCCCGAATTTAACACACGGTTTAACCGACGGATCCTCGGGTTTTCCGCCACGTTTTCTGCTTACCCTGGTTCCCAGAAGTTCCCGGAATGTGCTGATGGACGTTGGGTTTATAAGACATTCCCAGAGACATTGTAAATTAAAGAAATAAAAATGACCCGAAATTCAGTGAAGCGTCTGTCTCTCACTTTTTGTTTACAACAGCGGCACCGGCAAATATGGCCGTCACTTTATATTGACACCCACTGTGCTTTGTAACACTGCAACTGTGCCGCTGCGGCTGGTCGAGGAAAGCGGGTTTAAAAGAGCCCATTTTGCACAGAAAGCGTCATTTTGGAGCGGAGGAGAAGGCGCAGGTTTAACACACGGTTAGCACGCAGCGGTGAGCAGGAAGCCAACTTTAAACAGCACTTTGCAAACTCTTTCTTTCTTTTTTTTTT